GCTAAATCGGTAGAGCGGTAGATGCCGCGAGTGTCGAACGTGTACTTCGACGAAATATAGTCCAAAACTGTATAAAAATTCGAAAAATTTGATCAGGATGCATGTTTTCAAATGTGGACTAAGCCATTGACCACCACACCATCTGGTGGTCAAAACTGATAATCATCAGTTAGCTTTGAGAAAGCCTCTTGGCAGGAGACGAAACGTAAGCTGTACGTTTCCAATCTTCACGGTTGAGTAACAATTAACCCTGTTATATATATTAGTCTACCAACCGAATGAAGTTATTTAATGGTTCACATTTATTGTTTTTTTATTCTCTAACAATAGATGAGACGACCGTGAACCGAAATATAATCTCAATAAGTGCAACTGAAAGCAACACAGCCACAGAGTCACCCAATAAGCAACAACCTAAGTAAACAACGAACATTGTGATTGTCCTGTGTTATTTTATATGTAAATGACATTGGTCGGAGGTATAAATCAGTGGTAAGAGTTGAACGGCTGATTGAAATGGCCTCAAAAGCAAAGAAACACAGAGAAGAGCTAAAGCAAGAGGACATCCTTCAAGCTGTTGTGATTGCCGACAGCTTTAATGTACGGTTCACTCCATTGACGCAGGTATGTTCTGCACACGTACAGCACTCCTAAAGGGAACTCTGCCATGATACTGGATATAATACCATGTGTAGATAACAAGAGGAATCCCTTTTGAAATCAGGGTACACTTTTCAACATGATAGATAGAAGTTCAAACATCTTATAAATGTCTTGAAGCGTTTGATAATCACATGTGGACTGGCTATCAAACAAATCTTGAAATCCACTTGGATCGATTGTTTACTGTTCTAATTGTGGCTTCATATACAGGAGTAGCCATAGTCATAGATTAACTGATCAGTCAATAATAAATCAATCGATTGGTCGTTCTATTTGTGGCATCATATTCAGTTGAAGCCATATTCTATGCATAGATTGATTGATCGGTCTATAATTGATCGATCATTCAAAAATTTATCGACTGATCAGTCAGTAAGCGATTAATCGGTCAATCATTGCTCTAATCGTGGCTTTGTATGCAGGAGAAACCACGAGTGCTGCTGCCTCTTGTCAACACACCCCTCCTCGATTACACGCTCGACTTCCTCTGCTCTGCCGGCATCGACGAAGTGTTCGTGTTTTGCTGTCATCATGCCGACCTCATCAAGAGCCATATCAAGGCTTCGAAGTGGAGTAAGGACTCGTCTACCTGCCAGGTGAGGCCACAATTAAAAAAATGTTTAGTTTGCCCTCACGCGACCCAGGCTGAAAAGTTTGGGTAGGTAGGTCGGCTTTTTTTCTAGGCGGGGGATTTTTTTAGCAAATTCAGCAATGGTGTCTACATGGCTCGAGTGTGCTTGTGTGGAGATACGACTTTTATGTTGAATGTTTGTTTTGCTTGGTGCATAAATATGGTATTTCCTACTGACTTTATATAATGTATGAGTGAGAATTTGTATAAAAAAAAAAATAATCAATAAAATTTCTTGAGTCGGCCCCTTTCTGGCGGGTCAGTCAGGTGATCGGCAAACAAACAATATTTTTATTATGGCCTGAATAATTCCCGAACGACAGCAGGTGTTTCATGGATGCTGTCCAGAGCGTATTATGAAGGAGAGCGTACAACGGTGAAATGCTGAAACCACGTTGCAGTGATTAGCAAATTAAGAAAACTTTGCCCATTTTATTTTGAACGATGTCTTTGGGTAGTATTGCTAAGCTGTCCTACCACCGCTTACTAAATATAAAACAAACGCGCTGTCGCCTTCGATGCCCCTGCGCTGAGATAATGAGCGGTGAAAATCTGGTATTTTTGCCGAAAACCGACTCGAGATCCCTGTTGGCTGCGACTCTCTCTCGCTTTGAGATAGCTTCGAGAAACCTCGCGTGTTTCCGTCAATGATTGACAAATGGAATGAATGATGTCTGTTATTGATTGCCATAGTGATGACCCCCACCTGTGCCCACCTCACGCTGGATGTAGTAATCTCTGTAGTACTTACGTAATGAGTCAGCGCTACCATGGCGCTACACAGCGGCGACCGGAAGCAACATACTGGCCACAAAACGAGAGAGAGTCGCAGCCAACAGGGATCTCGAGTCGGTTTTCGGCAAAAATACCAGATTTTCACCGCTCATTAGTTCAGCGTAGGGGCATCGCAGATTCGTAGGGACAAGCGGTTTGTTTTATATTAGCAAGGTAGGACAGCTAATCAATACTACCGCAAAGAATCGTCAAAATAAAACGGGCAAAGTTTCTTAATTCGACTAATACTGCAACATGGTTTCAGCATTTCACTGTTGTACGCTCTCCTTCTTAATTCGCTATTGATACTGTGCATCTGTCGTGTGAATCTACTTCTCAATCTCTGGGCTTTATTTATATTATATATATATATTTCTATTTTCTAATTTATTCTATATGTGTGTGTGCGTGCGTGCGTGCGTGCGTGCGTGCGTAGTTACACACTTGTAAGTTACACACATTGCCAATCAGTGTTTTTGGTGTGAGTCCAAGTAGCAGCTGGCATAACTAAGCTGACAGTAATTATTACGGTCGATTAATACAAAAAACATCTGTACCTGATGCCCTGTCATGTTGAGAGTCCCTGTGTAATATTGCACTTTTAATCAAGCATGTCCAAAAAACTCGTTGCTTTCAAAAAGATAGAGCCTGAAGGGTAATGAAGGCATCATCAGTAATGGCCAGCATGATATAAAACTGATACAAGCCAGAATGATCTTGTACTTACAGTAAAACAGAGTATTTTGACCCTTGCATTAATTTCAAACCCTGCACTAAGGTGAGCATGAGAAAGATACAGTAAAAAATTAAGTTGTCAGAACTACTGTAGGTTAGTAAGTAACAGTAAGTAAGTAATTTTATTCACCTGTTAATAACAGTTTCATCCAGCCCTATTCTCCTCGAGGAGAGAAACTAAGAAGAAGAATAACAGTTTCAACAGTTTTCATCGTCTAGGCTGACACTGCTCTTGTTGCAGGTGACAGTTATTGTCTCGGAAGACGTGATGTCTGTCGGTGACTGCCTCCGAGACATCGATGCGAAGGATCTCATCACATCTGACTTCGTTTTAATTACCGGTGACGTCGTCTCTAACATGGATCTCGGTGCCATCATAGGTGGGCAGCGTTGAGCTGTGATTGAATCGTTCATTTGTTTGTTCCATTTAAAGCGGTTTGTCACCGTACATTTTAATGACAATGTGTTGATGGTAACAATCTTTACAAGTTCTGCTATTAGTGTTCAACCGCTCCTGCAGTATGGTGTGAAGGTGTTCCAACCATGCACTCCACCTAGGTAGGAGGTTATAAAAGAGGGTGGAGAGCAACTCGTCTGAGAAATGGCCTTTCAAGACTCACTAAGAGTTATTGGAGGCCAATGAGACTTCTGCTAATAGGAGAGAGAGCATTTTAAGAGATCGAAACATGAAATTTTAACCATGTGCATTCATTCTCCTCGCAGAGAAACACAAGGAGAGACGCGAGAAGGAGAAATTCTGCATCATGACGATGGTAATGAAGAGGGCGCTACCAGGCCACAGATCTCGCTGCGGTGAAACTGATCCTGTACTGGCGATAGACGTGGATGGTGGTCGCATACTCCACTACCAGAACACCCAGGGTGGTAAGCCGCTCAGCACCATCTAGTAACAAAGCTGTAGCATGTGGATTGTGTACTGAAGATACTTGTTTAGGTGGCAGTGTCCCCCTTGCACCCCACTCCCCACCCTCCACTTAGATGATGATTAATATATATTAGATACTAGATATATTGTGTAACAGTTTTGCAAAACAGCATGCATAACATCATCAAGCAATATGAAATTCAAGTTGACAGACAAGATTTGTAGGCACAGTTTTAAAGTACACTAATAATTTACGAAGCTTCGGAATAATCAACGTATTTTGCTGCAATTTACAATAAATAATTCACGTAAAAGAATGCTATGCAAAACTATATCGATGTGTTCTTTTTACCTGTGATTATTCTTACCTTTTCCCCAGCAGGTAAGCGGTTAGAGTTTCCGACGCACGTCTTCTTGGAGCGTGGACAGGTGGCGCTGCATTACGACCTCATGGACTGTGAGCTGAGCATCTGCTCTCCAACTGTCGCTCAGCTCTTTACGGACAATTTCGACTACCAGGTGAGCGGAGCACGTACACGCAGGCAAGCCAGCATAGCTAAGTAGATGGAAGGACGGACAGACAGACGAATGGGCAAGCAGGCCGATAGGTAGACAGACACAGAAAGAAACAGATAGACAGGCAAATAGGGAGGTAAATAAGTCGATATATAGGTAAATCGATAGACAGGTAGCTGGGTAGATAGCTAGGTAGCTGGGTAGATAGGTAAGTAGATAGCTAGGTAGCTGGGTAGATAGGTAAGTAGCTGGGTAGATAGGTATTATTTTAGGTAAGTAGATAGACAGGTTTAATTGTTAATTTAATGTTTTTTCACGTTTTTACGATTAATTTATTTTTTGATTTCGCACATTGCACACTGTGTGTCGTCTGGGGAGATTTGTCGGTGTCGTTGCTTGAACCTTGCAGACGCGTGACGACTTTGTTCGTGGCATACTCATCAACCAGGACATCATGGGAAACATGATCTACCTGCACCGAGCAGACGACACTTACGCGTCACGCGTCACCAACCTCTCCATGTACGACGTCGTCAGGTAAGCGCAATACTGGTGCCATCTAGTGACAGTATATTGAACTGATACTGAATACTGAAGTAAAAATGGCCGTCCTAAATTTTTTTTAGATTTAAAAAGAAAAATTCCATGTGAAATTAAATCTGTTATTATTGTGATTGCTGGTAACGAGTGTTCAATATTCCAGCAAAGATATTTTGAGCCGGTGGACGTATCCGCTAGTACCAGATCTGACAGAGAAGGGTAGTTACAGCTATGGCAGACACAACATATACCTTCACCAGGAAAATGTGACACTGGCGAGAGGTTGTGAGCTCAGTCAAAACGTTGTCATTGGAGAGGGCAGCACTGTCGGCATGGATACGCACATAGCCAATTCAGTGATTGGTCGAAACTGTAAAATAGGTAACAAAGTGGACTGTGAGAGTTCTTTAATATATTTTTTTCAAATATCGTATACATACACATCCACATGCATACACTTACACATGGATACATACATGCAACAGTTGTTTGTCTAGATGAGCACAACACGACTGTGCTACTTGCATATAATATTACATACAATAAAGCACATAAAAAAAACTAATATATTGTATATACTTTTGTCATTTATTTACCATTTGAAATCGCTCTCACAATAACCTTGAAATTTTATGATGAAAATTTTATGATGAAAATTTTGAAATTTTGTGATGAAAATGCATTGATAGTGCTACTCGCATTATTCTGCAGGCAAGGACGTGAAAATAGAGGGCGCCTACCTCTGGGACGGCGTCGTCGTCGGCGACGGGTGCATCGTCGCACGCTGCATCCTCGCGGATGCGGTGCAGCTGTGTGAGCGTGTGACGATCGAGGCGGGCTGCGTCGTCTCATACGGCTGTGTGGTGGGACCCCACCGCGTCGTCCCTGCCGGCACCCTGCTCAGCCTCACACCGGCTCGTAAGTCACGTTGCTGCTTTCCCTGCATAACGATCCCTATGGCTATGTCCACCCTGTGTATGTTGTGTTCCTGCATTATTTTGAAGGGTGAAGGGGTAGCGAAAGACCATAGGGTCAATAAGAGAGCTCGGTGTGTTGCAGATGAGCATTTGAACGGCATTTATAGGCGAAATAGAGTAAAGAAACATTAAGACTGGTAGTAAATACATTTCGTGTTTATTTACCTTCTTTTTTTTATTGAGACGTTCCAAGTGCCTGTGTTCAATGCGGTTATACGCCAAATAATTCTACTTCGCGCCCATGATATTGAAATTATCTTCCTTCCTTTTTGGTTACTTGCAAAATTTAAGCTTTTTTTCTAGTGCGATCAGCAGTGCTGATCAGTGATCTGTGTATTTGACCAGCTTTGTCTTTCTCTGTTTTCGAGATATTTCCTTGAACTTTGAAAACTAATCTTGTCATTCTTGATGAAATTATGCGAATCTAATTGATTATTGATGTAATTACTTCAAATGAGTAATGTGGCGACACTACTACTAGTAGTAGTAATAGTACTACTAGTAGTGGCAGCCAGTATTAGTGCTAGTGGTTATTACACAGCTGTAACATAAAGTTTTTGATTGTACTCACTAAATAGAGTGATGAATTTGATAACTTCACATTTATTATATATAACAGGGTTAATTGTTACTCAACCGTGAAGATTGGAAACGTACCGCTTACATTTCACCTCCTGCCAGGAGCCTTTCTCAAAGCTAACTGATGATTATTAGTTTTGACCACCAGATGGTGTGGTGGTCAATAGCTTAGTCCACACGTGACTGAGCCTGTATCCCCCCTCGTTCCGGTTGATGTTCGGGGTCTTGCGGATCCAGATGGCCTCCTTAATCCAACGCCTGATTTTGAGTGGCTTGCGATCGATGATCTTCGAATTCTCCCAATCGATGGTGTTATTGTCCAATGAGTGAATTGAGGCTTAAGGCGCGTTCACATGGACGTTTTTCGCCCGAGCCTAATGAGGCCCGCGCCAAATTTGGCTCGAGTCGAGCGTTCACACGGACG